AGCTCAGCAAGCTGACAGGCCCCAGCATGGAAGTCTCTGTGGGGAGGGGAAGGGGCACATCTGGATTAGAGGAGCAATGGCTTCAGCCAGGAAAGGCTCATACTTTTTTTTGGTCTTTGTATAAGACAACTATGTTCTACTAGAATAAATCACCACAAACTGAGTGGCTGTAAATAATACAGAGATATTACCTTATAATTCTGGATACTACAATGCTGACAGGGATCTCACTGGGCTAAGATCAAGGTGTCAGAAGCTGTGTTCCTTCTGGAGGCTGTAGGGGAGAATCCATTCCTCACCTTTTTCAGCTTCTAGAGGCCACTTGTGTTCCTTGGGTCATGACTGTATCACTCCAATCTTTGCTTGGGTCGCCATATCTTCTCTCTGACCCTCCTGCCTCCCTCTTCCTGATATGACTCTTGTGGTTAGATTGGACCCACCTGGATACTCAAGGCCATGCTCCCCATTTCAAAATCCTTATTTGAGTCACTTCAGCAAAGTCCCTCTGGCTTTGTAAGATCACATATTTATGAGGATTAGGGCATGGACATATTTGGGGGGCCATCATTCAGCCAACTACAGCAACGGAGGTTAGAACCAAACAGTAATGCCGCTAACCCTGACAGAGCACCTACTACAGGGCAGACACTGAATTCATGGCGTTAACGGTTTCACACCTACCGTCTTGAATTTTCCTTGCAGCCCCATGTAGGAGATCCAGTGGGACTCCAGTTTTATGGCTGAAGAACCAACCTTACAGAGGTGAAGTGATCTTGAAACCCAAGTGGGAGATGCAGGGGGGAGGGCCAGGAAGATGTTACAGGAAATCCAGATCTCAACCTGGGACCCAGCAAGGGGAAATGGTCACCTTTAGGTTTATTATGTGTTAAAGGTAGATGATGACCTCCCAGAATCCCTCTGGCCCCAGGACAGCATTCTAAGATTGTGGCACAGGTGACTGCATCTGGGCATTTATCCCCCTGTTGCAGAATTTATCAGTTTAACCCTCTAGGTGTGTCTCAAAGGCAGATCTTGGGTCTTGTTCTGGTAGCTGTCATAATAAATTATCACAAATTTAGTGGCGTAAAATTACAGAAATGTATTCTCTCTCATTTCTGGAGGCCAGGAGTCCAAAATGGGTCTCACTAAGCCGAAATCAAGGTGCTACGGAGTCAGACTCCCTCTGGAGGTTCTATGGGAGAAGCTGTTCCTTGCCTCTGCCAGCTTCTGGTGCCTGCCAGACTCCTTGGCTTGTGGCCACACACTCCAGTCTCTGCCTCTGTCTTCACACAGCCTCCTCTTCTGTGTGTGTGTCATAAAATCTCCCTCTCATAAGGCTGCAGGTGATGGCGTTTAGAGCCCACCTGGATGACCCAGGCCGAGGTCCCCAGCTCTACATTCTTAACCTCATCACATATGCAGAATCCCACTTGCTGTATATCAAGTGGCATGAATGGGTCCCAGGGACTAGACCTGCATTTCTTTGGGGGCATTATTTAACCTCCCATGCCCTTGGAGCTCACAGGATTTGTTCATGAACATGCTTTGTGGGCTGGCTAAATGAATTGCAGTCTGAACCCTAAACTCTAAACCCAGTGGCTTTCATGTGGATTCTGGGCCCCCAGCAAAGGTTTGTTTTGGAGTTAATTGTTTACTTGTCCCTGTATAGATGAAGGAAGCTGTTACAGTCTGTTGTGGACTGTAGGGACTAGAAACAGATGAGTCCTAGCTAGCTGGGCTCCTTAGAGTAAGTTGATTGCCCTCTCTGGGACTTGGTTTCTGCAGTGATAAAATCAGATTTATAGATCCTGTCCCACCTTGCCTGCCTCCAGGTATTATTGTAATGACTGTGAAGTAGGGATGTCTTATGTTATATGAATGTCAAGCATTGTTAGAAATATTGTTACAGAGTTTTAAATATTGTTATAGAGGGAAGAGGGCAATGTTCCACTCAAAGGATTGCATCCCTAATGGTGGAATTTAGGTCTGTGGGAGGACTGTAGGAGACTTTAAAACCCTTTGGCCTCCTCTAGCTACGCTTGATACTATTCAGCCACCCTGGGTACCGGGCTGGAGTGGAAGGCCGCCGCGAGTTCTGATCTGTTGTTGGCCTTCCCTCTGCTTCCCCCAGTGTGTGAGCTGAAGCCCAGAAAGCCACATTACTCCCTTGTGGTACAGAGATGGGGAGGGGCTGCCCCAAGAGCCCAGGTACCCAGCTCCCAGGCTTGTGTGCCTTCCTTGAGGGCCGAGGACACTTGCGTGGACTAGGCCCTGGAGAGGAAGAAATGCTGCAGTGAAGTTGTCAGGTACTTTTTTGCTCCTGGGGCCTCTCCGTGAGTCCTAGTATCTGGGCCTCTTCTGCAAACTAGGGGAGAAGTGCGCAGTTGCAGTAGGCATTTGTGCTGTGCGAACTTCACAGACTCTGGGCAGGGTTCCTCTTCCAGAAGGGACAGGACACAGCACTCTGGGTCAGCACACGCTCTGCTCAATGCATTGGGCAAAGAGAAGTGATTGAGTCCTTAAAGGCTGTCGCAGACACCCTTGGGCTTCCTGTCCCACCAGTGCACAGCGGATTTCCCATCCAGGAAGCATTGCCTCGGGCATGACTTGGCTATCATGGTGCTGAGGGCCGTTCATTTCGTGACCCTTGGGTCCTGCAGGTTTCCTTTGTGTGCAACCAGTAGTAGCAGATTGGGGGAGTGTGAGGGAGGGAGCAACAACTTCAGAGCCTCTGAGATGCAAAGACCCCCAAGGCCATCTAACTCAAGGCCCCAGGAGCAGCCAGGGATGAGAAATAGGAACAAATGAGGGCAGGTGGGCCAGAAAAGATGCTGAGAAGTGGGAGGGAAGGGACTAGGATAAAAGAGGCACCCACCTAAGGAGCTGGAGCCAAGGTTTTTAACCTTGACTCTCACTGATGAGTCCTGGGACCTTAGGCAAATCACCTTCCCTCGCTGGCCCTTGCTTTCCGCATCTGTAAATGAGGGGATGAGACCAGATCCATTGGTTCATTTATTCATTGGCCAAACATGCATTGAGCTTGGACTGGATTCCAGGCACTGGGAGCAGAGGATGCTGGGGGAGCGGAGAGGAAAGAGAGTGTTATCACGGTGGGAGTGGGAGGCAAGTTTGCACAGCATCACAAGGATCCAACACCTGAGCTGAACGTTGAAGGCAGAGTAAGTGTGTGGAGCCGGAAAAGGGCCAAGGAGAGAAGGAGCTGGTGCTGACATTTTTTTCCCCAGTGGCAAAATACACAAAACAGAAGATGCACCATTTTAAAGTGTACTATTCAGGGACATTTAATTCATTCACAAGGTTGTGCAAGCACTACCTGTATCAAATTCCAGAACTTTTTCATCACACCAAAAGGAAATCCCATTCCCCCGCACCCCCCCCCATCCACCCCTCCCCCTGCCCCTGGTAAACACTAATCTGCTTTCTGTCTCTGTGGATTTGCCGACTCCGGACACTTTCTATAAATGGCATCATACAATATGTGATCTTTTGTGTTTGGCTTCTTTCACTCAGCGTAATGTTTCCAGGGTTCATCCATGCTGGAGCTGTGCCTTGGTATGGATGAAAAATATTCTATTGCACACAGAGACCACAATTTTTTTATCATTCATTATTGATGGACATTTGAGTTACTTCTACTTTTTGGCTACGATGACTAATACTGCTATGAACATTAACTCAAAATCCCTGTTCGGGTGTGCAGTCCTGGTCCTTGTTCTAGTTCTTTGGGGTCTACACCCAGGAGTGAAATTGCTGGGTCCTATAGCAGTGCTCTGGTTGACTTACTGAGGAACTAACAGACTGTCTCCAAAGTCGCTGTATCATTTTCCATTCCCACCAGCAGTGGATGAGGGGTCCAATTTCTCCACATCCTCCCTGTTATTTGGATGTTGACTGTAAGGGACAGATTAAAGAGGAGGAATCCGGAGGAGAGAAGGAGGAGCAGCTAGGAAGGGATGAAGATGTAGCAGGGGGAGCAGGGAGTGGAGCGCACCATCCTGGAAGCCCAGGAAGCTAAGTTTCCTGAGACAGGGATGGTCCTGCTAGCAGGATGCTGACAGTGCCCCCTGGCTGAGGAGGACTGGTTAGAGGGCTATTTCAGGGCCAAGCTGGGGCAGGGGCTTGAGATATGGTAGGGAGGTGAGAAAGTGGAAAGAGTGTGTATAAACACCTGTTGGGCTGGGAGGGCGTGGTCAGTGCAGTGCCATAGGTGGGGTGGGGTTGGAGAGGGGGAATGGGGTTCAGGGGTGGGCTTGTGTCAGGGCTGCGGGACTTGCACGACCTGGCTCCGGGCTGGCAGTGCCCTCCATCATTGCTGGAGCCCACGCTGGAGGCCCAGAAGCCCGGCTGGCTTGACAGCTTGTTGGAAGAGAGATCAACGGGAGCCGGCAGCCAGGAAACCTGGCCGAAGCCAGCGGGGGCTGGGGGGCCAGGGAGGATGGGTCTGGGGGAACTCTGGAAGGCTGGAGCAGTGCTGCAACCATCCCCGCCACTGAAATGACAGGCCCCTCTCTCCACGGGGAGAAAGCCCCAGCGCCCAGCTCAGGGTCTGGGAAATGGTGGAAGTCAACACGTGTGTTTGGATGAATGAAAAGAGAGACAGACAGACAGACCGAGAGACACAGAGAGACAGGTTTCCAGGAGTCCATTTGCATGAGAACCTGTGAGGATCCTGGGGTGGCAAGGCTCAGAGGCAGGTGGTGGTGGCAGCTGCTGGGGCCTTGGGTAGCCAGGGGCCTCAGGACACAAGAGGCTGGCAGGCCAAGCCGTCTCAGGGTCGCGCCAGGCCGCGTCCTCCTGCCCCCTTCTCCTTGGCCTGCTCCCCACCACTCGATGGCAGGGCCTGAGGTGAGGGTAAAGTCCCGTAGCAGCCCTTTGGCCGCGGCCCGGCACCCAGTCCGGAGCCCACTTGGCAGGGCCCATGCCTGACCTCATTCAGTGGGGCCTGGTGCAGGCGGGGCCCGGCGCGCCTGACAAGCAGTGGGAGGTTGGACTGGCACTGTGGGAGGATCCCAGGGCCCGGGGGGTCTCTGAAGGGCCTGCCAATCTCCCCAGCCTGGGCAGCTTTTCCCCTAGCCCCTGGGAAGGCTGCACTTCCGGAATTGAGGGTAAGAAGGGCAGACAAGGTGGGGAGGGGAGCAAGGACAGGGGAGGGAGCGGGTTTGGGGAGAGGGCAAAGTGAGGGGTGGCGAGGGTGTTGGGCCCATCCTGCTGTGCTGCTTCTTTTCTAGAAAGCATGTCAGTCTTTCCAAAGCCTTTCCCCCTTACTCCCGAGGCTGAGCCAGCCTCCTAGTGCCTGTTGTGGTGGGGACACCAGGAGCCCTCCATCCCCCCAACCCAGCAGCCATCCTGAAGGCATCCTGCTGGGATAAGCAACCTCTGGTCATTCCCTCACCAAGACTGCTCCCTTGTCCTTGCCCCTTCATCTTCCTCCCTTCCTTATCCTTGCCCCCCTCCGTATTTCCCTCCTCTTCCCCCTCCCCCTCCCTTGCCTTCAGTTTCCTTCCCTAACCTCTCCTCCATCCCCTTCTCTTTTCTTCTCCTTTCCCACCTCCCCTGTCCCTCTTCTATTTCCCTTTCCTCCCCTCACCCCTCCCTCTCTAGTTTCTTCCCTCCCCAGGACTCTCTCCCACCCTCCCCACCCCCTACCCTAGCTGAGCCTGATGGAGTGCAGGGGTGGCCTTACCCGCCTTCAGTCTTTCCTGCTCTCCTTCCAGTCTTTGCTGCCAGCCCAGAGAACGTGCCATCTCTCTCCCTTGCCAGGTGGAGCAGAAGGCTGGACTCGAATCTCCATGGCTTCCTTGGTTGAGGGGTGGAGAGGGAGAAAGGGGGGACCCTGGTGTGGGCTGTGGGGTGGGAGGGGTGAGTGGGGTGGTGGAACCACCGGGTGGAGCCCTGTCTAAACCTCCCTGTCCACCAGCCCCATGCCCCCATCCCACACACCCGGTGGCCCAGGTGCTGCTCGGTGCTGCTCAGAGTGCCCAAGAAGGGAAGCAATGGGTGAAGGCAGGGCTGCTGTGCCCTGTGGATGCTTTCCAAGTACTTCTTGACTTCTTTCTGCTGGACCTTCCTTGATGACAGTGGTACTGGTGGGACGCACTTCGGAGTGGCTTCCCAGAGACCACTTGCCCACTCACAAGCAAGTCCCCAGACTGTGGAGGGGCACGTGTGGATCCTAAGACAACCCCTCTGAGGTGAGTGTGTGCGGAAATGAGGAGAGTGCTGAGCAGGCAGTCTGCACCTTGCCACCAGCGTGCCCATGGTCAAGTGTCTGACCCTTTGGCTCTCATTTTTCTCCCATGTAAAATCTTTTGGCCTAGGAAGCCCCTGGGATTCCTTTGAGCACTGGCACTCAGCTGATTATAGGCCACTGTCCCATCCTGTTCAGACTTTCTGTTGCTGGTTGGCCAAGAGCAAGGTGGTGTGGCCTCTGACCCCACAGGCTGTCCAAGTGTAGTCCCTGGGCTGGCAGCAGCAGGATCATCTGGGAACTGATCAGAAATGGAAATTCTTACGACCTACCCTGGACTCACTGACTCAGAAACTCTGGAGGTGGGCCCAGGAATCTGGGTTTTAGCCAGCCTTTGGGTGAGTCTAATACACACTCGAGTCTGAGAACCATGGTGCTGGACTGTTGGTCTTTGCAGAAGGAACAGGAAAGCAGTTCATCCCAAAGACAGGCAAGGCACTGAGCCCTGGGGGTTGACATTCAGTCAGAGATGCCTGCTCGTGCACGGCCTGTGTTGCACACATATGTGCGTGCGTGCGCACACACACACTCTGATTGTCCCTGCCCCTGTTGGCAGCCTTGCTTTAGATAGATTTGATAACAGCAAAATTCAGGATTTCTTTCCATGAAGGACACCACAGATAGTTAACAGGCAGACGACAGATGGGGAGAAGATATTTGCTGTTTAAAGCTGACAAGGGATTAATGGATAACATATACAAGAAAATTCTGCAGACCCACAAGGAGAAGACCCAACAGGAAAATGAGCAAAGCATATGAATAGGCAATTCCCAGAAGGAGAAACCCAAAAGGCTAGTAAGTCAGTATGTGAAGAGATGCTCAGATTCATTAGTAATCAGAGAAATGCAAATTACAACAATGAAATAGGATACACACATGTCAGGTTGGCAAAAAGCAGCCATATGATGCCAAGTGTTGGCTGGGAGAAGGAGAAAGGGGAACCAGTGTGTGCTATGGGTGGGAGTCCAGCTAGACTGGTGCAGCTGCTTTGGAAAGCCATGTGGCAACATCTAGTCAGGTCAAGTGTCCATGTCCACACTAACCTAGTGATCTGTCTTCTGGTACAACCTTGAGAAATTCTCCTGCCGGCCCACAAAGGGGCTATGAGTTTCCCATGGCTGCTGTAATAAATTATCCTAAACTTCGTGGCTTCAAACAACAAAAATTTCCAGTTCTGAAGGCCAGAAGTCCAAAACCAGTATCACTGGGCTGATATCAAGCTGTCAGCAAGATCATATTCCCTGCCAAAGCTCTAGGAGAGAATCCTTCCTACCTCTTCCAGCTTCTGGTGGCTGCAGGCATTCCTTGGCTTATGGCCCAAGTACTTCAATCTTCAAGATTAGCATCTTTCCACCTCTTTCTGCTCTGTCTTCACATTGCCCCCTTGGGGGTGTGTGTGTGCGCGTGTGAAATCCACCTGACCTCCTTTTTACAAGAATACTTGTGTAGGACATAGAAAACAAACTGTGCTTACCAGGGGGGAAAGGAGGGGTGGAGGTGTAACAGAAAAGAACAAATCTGACCCCATACTAGATCTGTTCCTTTGACCTTAACCCTGTGCTCTGTTTCCTGGGCTTAGTCTTGCTGGTTCTGCACTTTTTGTAAAAGAATGTTGCCTAGAGCCTGAAATGTATAAGAAAGCTTGTTCTCAAGGCTTTGACCTTTAAGAATATTATCACTTTTCTACTCATACAAAGATAAGTTGCAAAATAGAAAATAACATTTGTTTTGTTGGAGGTTTAAAGGGACACCATGATCTGACTGACGTGGACAGCTGCAAGAACAAAGGATTCTAAGAACACAGAATTCCTACACCAAGAAGTTTTCAACAATCAAGCACACCCTCTCCACATTTTAGTGCAAAAGGAGCCTGAATTCTGACTTGGGGAAGATGATTCTCCAGTACATTATTGCTCTGCCATCTTCTTGGTCAGCTAGCTTTCTGAATAAAGTCATTTTTCCTTGCCCCAACACCTCGTCTCCTGATTTATTGGCCTGTTGTTCGGGGAGCAGAATGAGTTCGGACTCGGTAACATAGAGGTAGATTAGGAGTTTGGGATTAACAGATACACACTACTATGCATAAAATAGAGAAACAGCAAGGACCTACTGTATAGCACAGGGGACTATGTTCAATTTCTTGTAATGAGCAATAATGGAAAAGAAACAAAATTATATATATGTGTGTGTGTGTGTGTGTGTGTGTGTGTGTATATATAGAGAGAGAGGCTGAATGGTTTGCTGTACACCTGAAACTAACACTGTAAATCAACTACACTTCAATAAAAAATAACAATTAAAAAACAGAATACATGTGTACTGGTTGAATAGTGTCTCCTCAAAATTCATGCTTCCCCGGAACCTCAAAAAGTGACTTTCTTAGGAAATAGGGTCTTTGCAGATGTAATTAGTTAAAGTGAAGTCACACTGGATTGAGGGACCCTTTATCCAACGACTGGTGTCCTTACAAAAGGAGGAAAGGGTACATGGAGACACAAGGAGGCCATGTGAAGATGGAGACAGAAATGGGAGGGATGCGGCCACAAACCTAGGAACCAACACGTGGGACCACCAGAAGCTGGAAGAGACAGGAAAGATTCTCCCCTAGAACCTTGGAGGGAGTCTGTCCTGCTGACAGCTTGATTTTGGACACCTGGACTCCAGAACTATGGAAGAGTAAATGCCTATTGTTTTAAGCCCCCCAGAGTGTGCAATTGCACTTCAGGCCCACCCTGATAATCCAGAATCATCTCTCGATCCCAATCCTGATTTAATCTTTTCTGCAAAGTCCTTTTTTCCATATAAGGTCACATGCGTGGGGTCCAGGGATTGGGACTTGATATCCTTGGGGGCCATTATGTATCCTGCTACAGGGACCCACACAAGGAAAGAGTTCATCATGCTTTGCTTGTGCTAACAGAGGATCAGAGGCAACCTAGGTGTTCACCACTGGGAAAAGGAGAAGCAACTGCTTAGTTATAAGGAATCAACTCAGAAACACACAGCAGTGGGGAGTGGCAACATACATAGCTGAGTGGAAAGGTACGGGGAAGGTTCTCCAGGACAATATCACTTGTGTTTATTGAAAACACACACACACACACAAACACACACTACCCTACACATTTGCCAGAGCACATACTCAAGGGTTGGCTGCCAAAGGGAGGGCAACTGGAGTGGAAAACAGGAAATTACAAGAACTGGTTGGGTAGATGGATTGATCCAGCCTGGGAGGGACCTCACACACTGGTGATGATGGTGATGCCGTGAACTGAGGACTGTCATGACCTGAAGGCCAAAATAAACAAAGGAAAGTAAAAGTCCCAGATGAGCCGTTTCTGTGAAGGCTGCCCACTCTGGAAGTGCCTTGGCATATTTTGCCTAAAGATACACTGTCCCATTAGCTGCAGTGCTGTGGGTGGCAGTCGCTGAACCTCATTTTTCCCTTCCTTTTGGGAAAGAAAGAAACATGTAGCCTCCAGAGTGGAGGCAGGATGCCCTTCTTAGCAACACCAAGGAACAAAGAAAGCCACACGAATGCCATTTGCTGTCGCCTGACAGTTGTTTTCCATCTGCTGTGCTGAGTGTTGGCTCCCTCCCGGCAGCCTTGAGCGGGCAGCTGACGTGGTTGGCTCGCCCCTTGGTCCTGGTTCAGACCTCCTATGGTTTTGTTCATTCTCGGAACACGTGGAACACACCCTGCCTCCCTTTTTCCAGATACAGTACTTCTCCTAATGCCATTTGATCAAGTAGCAGGAAGGCCAAATAGAATGAGGCCAGTGGCCCTGGAAACAGTCATTGATATAAATCACCGTGAATTCCACATCAGTTTGGTAAATGATCAGCTATTTGAACCCTGGGGGAGGGGGGTGGACCTTGTTTGCTTCTTTCGCATTGGGTTCTTCTTAGTTCCCTGTAAAGTTCCCTTTGAAAATGCCACTCTTCTTGGCTGTGCTTGGGAAGAAAAGAGAACCTGACTTTTTAAAAAATTAATTTATTTTTCTGGGGTTTTTTTTTTGAGGGGGGTAATCAGGTTATTTATTTACTTATTTATGGAGGTCCTGGGGATTGAACCCAGGACCTGGTGCATGCTAAGCACGTGCTGAAGCACTGAGTTATACCCACTCCTCTCTCGGCGTTATTTTTTCATTCAGCTCAGAAATAGGAAACTCAAACTTCACTCCTTCATCATAAAAGAGTGTACTTTTCAGTGCTTCACCCTACCTGGGTGTTTTTATTTCTATAAAAGTCTCATGGGAATTATGAGTTGGTTTGGCTTTGGGTGGCCTGGCTGCCAGAAGATGCCATGTACCGCTTAAAGCCACAGGCAACACAAAGGGAGGTACCACTGCTGGCCCCAGGGCGCAAGTTAAGACCGCAGTCCTGGCACCTGTCTCTCAGCTTAGCCTCGTTCCTCTGCCCTGTGACCCGGCAGCATCTGTCTGTCCTCTGACAATAGGGAGAACACCTGCAAGGCCTCATGGCAGAATCTTCTAGAATCTTTTTGAAAAAGATTTTTTGCAAGGATTTTTTTCCCCTTTCTATTCTATTTTCTTCTCGTCCTAAAAGTAATTCCTGCTTAGTGTCAAAAAGGATAAGGAAATAGAATAAAAGATCACCTCAATTTCACCTTTCCAGACCACCACATTTACTTAATGCTTCCTATCTGCCAAGACACAGGCGAAGTGTGCTCCTTCTTTTGTCCCCAGTAATCCTCACAACTACTCTGTGAGGCAGGTATTATCAGACCCATTTTCTCATTTTTCCTATGAGGAAACTGAGGCACAGGGAGATTCAACAAGTAGCCCAAGGGCACAAGGAAGGGGTGGAGTTGAGACTTGAACCAAGGTCCTTCTGATTCCAAAGCCCATGCCCTTGACCTCTGCACCCACCATGCACCTTCAGCACAGCTGTACGCAGAGCTCTCAAAACAGTATGGCAGTAAGACTGTGGGCTCACCAGGACATAAGCCCGCCGGACACTTGGTGTGTTCTTCTAGGAGTGTATCCTCACTGGGACTAACTTTCCTTCTGTCCCACTCAAAGTCTTGCTCTGTGAGGTGGTTGTCCTATTCTGAGTTTCTGGAGGCGAAGTTCAGTTGGTGGGGTGCTCATCTGGCTACAGGTCAGCTGGGGAAAAGCAATACTCCATCAGTTCGGCGTGAAAAGTGCATGTGATCCCCCACCCCCAGCCCTCCCTGGGACACCAGTCCCCATCTAGGAAAAGAAAAGTTCCCACTAGAGGCTAATGGCTCTTTCACCTGTAAAGTTCTATGATTTATCGAGTGTCAACACTCCTGCGTGCTAAGAGAGGATTTGAAAACCCGTCATAAATATTTAAATTAACTAGTAACATCCTCTTAGCTTATCACATGATCACCAGCCAGATCGTGGAGCAAGCTCTAAGAGACAGGGTGACACATGATCTGACACTCTCTTTCCTCTAGAACCCCCCAATCCAGTGTTCCAGAAGCTGGATCTCTGTGCGACCCCTGGCTTATCATCATCATCATCATCATCATCATCCAGCTCTTAAGATTAAAGGCAGGAAGCTAGCGGGAGGCATTTTCCAGAAGCTGCGACGTCGGCGGCGGCAGCAGCGGCGGCGGCGACGGCGACGACAAGGCCACTGCAGATCTCTTTCCTCACCCTGTGTTGTCTCTCACGGCTTTTAGATTGCTGCACTGATTACCCAGTGCCGGCCCCCAGCTCTCAACACCGTCAAGCCGATTCCACTTCGCTCAGATTTTCCTCTAAGATCTCAGCAGGGGCCAAGCTTTCGGCAGGCCAGCGGGCTGTCTAGGCAGCTATGGGAGGCGCTTCCAGCCCTGGGCCGCTTCAGGTCTGGTAGAGTAGCCAGGTGGGTACAGAAACAACTAGAACACCCAGGGCTCTCAGGCCCCTAGGGATAGTGTGAGCAGTGCTGAGGTGGCTCACAGGGTCTCCGTGTCTGATTGCAGGTAGGGGTGGGGTGGGGTGGTGGCAGGAACCTAGCTGAAACTGGATCTCAAAGAGAATGGTCTCTCTGTGACTTGATTTCAGGGTTGTAGAGGGTTATGATAGGATTTGAAACTGAGCAGTGACAAGTCGGAAATGTGCATTTATAAAAGATACATTGCTGGCATGGCGAGTGGGTAACGAGAGGGAGAGCAGTTAGGGGGCTGTCGAGGCCGGCCAGGGCAGAGACGGTGACGGCTCAGTAGCGGGAGATGCAGAGAGGCAGCTGAATCTGGGAGACATTTAGGAGGCTGAATTGACAGGATTTGGGGACAGCATGGCTGTGGGAGATGAAGGAGAGATGGGAGCCAGGCAGGATGCGAGGGGAGGGGATGATGGTGGTACCACTTTCTGGGGATGCACGTGGGGAAAGGGCTGAGGTTGGGGAGCTTGGTTTAGGGCATACTGGTGTGAGGTCCTGGGAGGTCACTCATTTGATGACTTCAACAACTCTCCGGGGCTGCTGGCAGGCAGAAGAATCCTGGATGGTCATTGTTTGCCCACTGAAAACAATTGGACAGTGAAGCCTGTTAAAAAAACCTGGGAGGCAGAAGACATGGATTCTACTTCCAGTTCTACTCCTTTGAGTGAAACAGTTGCTTTCTCGGGGCTTCACTTTTCTTTTTCTTTTCAAAATATGCCTCACTATCTCACTGAATCTTTGTGGGGTGCAGCTTAAATAGATATGCAAGCACCTTGTAAACTGCTTAAGGAACAAAATGCAAGGTAGCATTACTTCTGCCCTCATTATCATTATCATCCCATTCTCTGATCTGACTTGGGCCATTTGTAGTTTATGTTTACAGTTCCTTACCCATATCATTTTATCTGATTGTCTTTTTCCCTAGTAACCCATGAATCATGCAGGCCAGGTACAAACATATCCAAAAGTAAGTGGAAAGTTAAGATGATCATCTAAACAAATCATGTAAAAAAAGAAGGCTTTTACTTGAAACATCTCAAGGCAGGCTCTTCTGGGAGTCACATCATATTGAAAAAGCTGTCTAGAATCATTTGAAAAGATGACCAAACA